AAACAGATATCTTGTAAAATTATATTATTTTTACACCAATAGGATCCTATCTGACAAATATAGTTATTTCTCTGTGACCATATCATGTAATATGGCCTCAACTAGGACTGTATATTTGTAGATATTTTAGAGAAGAAATATTAATGATGCTATTTTTCAGAGATAAATGGAGATCTCCTTTCCTCCAAATACACTCTATAATATTCAGCCACCAAATTCCATAGGGAAGGAGTGGTATTTACCTGTTAAAACACTCTGAATAAGATCTTCTGTCTTGGCAGGTGCCTTTACAGAACCTAAAATAAAAACATAAAATAAGTAGCCTGTTTTAACTTTTTAAATTTTGTTCTTCCTGTAAAATAACAATGTTTGGCCGTTGAGTCTAAATCTTTTCATGAAGAAATTACAAATTTTGGGAGAAAATTATCACAAAAACTCATAAGAAATGTCTTCATTTTTTTTTTTTTTACTTTGAGTTAAACATAATTAAATGTGACTATACGCTCCATTTATAGAGAAAGGCCATTCCTCCACTTTGATTCAAAACTGTCAGCCGATTCAGTTTAGGCAGTGCTAGTGCCACCTTTTGGCAAAATCAGGAATGGCAAGTGGTCATTTAAAAATCAAATGCTTAACTGTTGCCAGTAATAATTGTCGTAGGCAAGATCCATTGGTGGATGCCAAAATCACTGGGCAAAAGTTTAAGGGGAAACACGATATTTAGAGTCTAAACATACCTTCTTCAAGACACACATTAACTATAAAGGAGAAAATCATAACTTTCAGTGGAGAAACCTGGCCATTACCACCTTAACCAAGTGATCTGGAATCGCCAATGATGAGACATACCAATATCAGGTACCCCTCATATGTGATGTTTAGCCCAAAATGTGTAACTTCAATCTAATCATGAGAAAATGTCAAGCCAACTCAAATCGAGAGTCATTCTACAAAATAACTAACTGGTACTCCAAAAGTGTCAAGGTCATGATAAATAGAGACAGATAAGACAGAGAGATTGTCATGGATAAAGAGAAAATAAGGAGACATAACAATTAAATACAGTGTGAGATCCTGAGTTGGAACCTGGAACGATAAAAGGACATTAGTGAAAAGCAGGTGAAGTTCAAACAAGGCCTGAAGTTCAATTCGAGGTATTGTGTCTGTGTTAATTTCCTGGTCTGACAATTGCACCATGATTCTGACAGATGTTAACACTAGAAAAGAGGAAATCATTTTTGCAATGTATTTGTGCCATTTGAAGTATGGGTCTGTATGTCAAATTATTTCAAAACCGCAAGTTAAAAAAACCAAATGCTAAAAGTCTAAATTCTCTTTTCCTTTCAAAAGCACAAGACTACATTTACTTACATATTTAAATGACTGATTTATATTCCAGAAGCGCTCAAAATGTTCATATTTGGTATATAAGATTTCGTGTAAAAATATCACTTCTCGCTTATGATCAAATCATCTTATGATTACTGATCTCAATAACCTTCTTAAAAGCCTAGGCCACAGTCACATCTAACATAGACTTAATATGATTTGTTCTTTTCAAAGTCTCATTACCCCCATGAAAAATAAACCCTCCCCTCCTAAATAAAAGATCTGGATTTCATCATTACTATGCACTGGCATGACAAGAAAGGGAGGAGACATGAAGTCATATTTTCATAGAAGGAAATTCTTTCCCCTTCCACTTTTTTAACCAATTGGACAAAAAGTTATTGAGTACATGTTATTCCTCAGCTCTTTGCAAAGGAAACATCCAACTGAAGCCTAATCCGGGAACTCTACCATCCACTGGAGACATGCATACGAAAGATAACTGCCTAAAGTAGTCTTAGATTAACTGTCAAAGCTAGCTGCATAGAAATCAAAGGGTTTTCCTGAGAAGTGAGGCATGAGTGTTGCTTTAGTAAGAGCATAGAAGCTAAAAGCAAGAATCTTAGGATCATAGAGAACTATGTCCGTCCTGACTTCACTCTTCACTAGCTATGTGGCCTTCAGGAAGTACTATGTCATCACAAAACTGCAGTTTATTCATCTTCACGATGGGGACAATATTAGAATCTAGCCTCATAGACAGATTCTATTATACGAGTTAAATGAGATAATCAATATGAAGAGTTCAGCTTATGGTAGACACTCAAGGTATTGAAAAGGAAATTGGAGAAAGATGGAAAGGAATTCTTGCAGAGACATAACTGAGTGAGGTAGAACTAAGAATGTGCTTCTAAAGCATAGCTGTTTAAATGATGTTTGAAGAACTCTTCACACACCCTGCCAGCAGATGGGTCATACCATAATCTATCACTAAATAAAGACGTGGGAAACATGGGCGATACTTTATTGTGGTTTTATAATTTATCAGCAGAGCCAGATGAGCATTTATGTGTCTTTCTTGGCATTCGTTCATTCACTCATTCATTCATTCCTTCATCACACTTTTCTGGAGCCCTCCTAAGTCCATACACCTTTGCTCATGTGATGCTTTAGCTAACTGAATCATGCTATCTCCTTCAGCAGCATGAATAAACTAAAGGCTCTTAGTCATGTTGTACAGCTGTCTCTCTAATGTTTACCTGGAGCAGGTTGGCTGTGGAGAGCCTGAGAAGGTGGTTTGGGTACCAGGGATGTAGTGTGATTTACTCCATTTTCTGCTGGAGTTGTCCTGGCTTCACTTGGAGCCTCTGACGGTGTCTCCCCAGGATCAGCCTAAAATCATAAACATACCTTTATTTTCCACATTTCTTACTGTTCTTTTATTACCTTCCTAACTCAATAAGGCTACATTTGATAGCATTTTCACAATTCGTTTGGAGTCTGAAATGTCAAATTTGAAACTGTTTGGAAAACACGGTAAAAGCAGCATGGTGTTGAACCATGACTGTGGTAGGTTAATTTTACAAAAGACCCCAATTTGCATGCCTTCCTAGGACCATGCCCTTAGGTAGAGCCTCCCACATTGACTTTGGACCTGACCACGTGATTGGCTTTGGTCAAATGAGAACATAGCAAACTTGATGCAAGCAGAGAACTGAAAAGGCACTTGTGAATTTTCCCTCTCTTTCTCAGACCCCTGCTCCAGCAATAGAGGCTGAGAGACCATGTGGTGGAGAGCTCAATCATCGAGGCAAGGATGTCCCAGATCATGCAGCCCCAGCTGACCATGTGCACAGCAGGACTGCCTGGCTAACCAAATGAATCATGAAAAATAATAGTTGGTGGCGTAAGCCACTAAATTTGGGAGTTGTTTGTTATGCAGCAGTAGCTTACTAATATGGTGGTTACTAGCACAAATTCTGGAGCCAGACTTGCTTGGGTTTGCATTCTGGCCACTATACTTCAGTTTCCTCCTCTTTATAGATGACTATATGTATATCCTATAACATCTATATTGTAAAGGAATATAACATCTATATTGTAAAGTTGTTTAGAGCAGGGTTCCCCAAATCCCAGGCCACAGACCGGTATATTTCATGGCCTGTTAGGAACTGGGCTGCATAGCAGGAAGTGAGCAGCAGGCAAGCGAGCCAAGCTTCATCTGTATTTGTAGCTGCTCCCCAACGCTAGCATCACAGCCTATGTCCCAGATCAAGCAGCCCCAGCTGACCACGTGCACAGCAGGACTGCCTAGCTGACCAAATGAATCATGAAAAATAATAGTGGCGTAAGCCACTAAATTTGGGAGTTGTTTGTTATGCAGCAGTAGCTTACTGATATGGTGGTTACTAGCACAAATTCTGGAGCCAGACTTGCTTGGGTTTGCATTCTGGCCACTATACTTCAGTTTCTTCCTCTTTATAGATGACTATATGTATATCCTGGGGAATATAACATCTATATTGTAAAATTGTTTAGAGCAGGGTTCCCCAATTCCCAGGCCACAGACCGGTATAGTTCATGGCCTGTTAGGAACTGGGCTGCACAGCAGGAGGTGAGTGGCGGGTGAGCGAGCGAAGCTTCATCTGTATTTGCAGACCCTCTCCAGTGCTAGCATCACCGCTTCAACTCCACCTCAGATCATTAAGCATTAGATTCTCATTGGAGCACCGGTCCCTGGTGCCATAAAGGTTGGGGACTGCTGTTTTAGAGGATCACAAAAGTTAATATTCATAAAGTTCTTAGAATAGTTCCAGGCACAGTTAAATATATGTGTTAAATAATTAAATAAAAGCATTGAAGCTTGTACAACACTACCAGTGAATAATAATAATAAATGCATTGAAACTTATGAAATCTCTACTCTATCCCTTCCAGCAACGAGTCCATTGTGCCCTGTACAGAGTGAATGTTTAAGAAACGTTTGTTGAATTAATGTTGATCTTTATAACATGATTGTCACAGTAATTACGTACCATTTCAATGATACTTTTCAATGCTCTAAATGCTCTGCAACCTTTTTCTTAAAATTGCCTTCCAGGTCCATGGCAGATTTTACTGACACTGAGGCTACGCTGATGTTCTACTTTGTAGTACATTAAAAAATGTATAGGAGGAAATAGCCAGAAGTCATTTGAAGTCCAATGTTGTGACATTTTGTCATGTAATTACAGACAGCAGATTGTCATACGATAACATTTTTATAAAAAATAAGATGAGAGGGAAAATAATGACACTGATTGTCACAAGTAGCTTTCAATTTGTCCCCCAAAGCATCTTTAAAACATGAGCTCCAAAACCGCTTTGTGTGATGGCAGAACTTAGTTTAATTCCACAAATAATCTCTGCTTATCTGCCATGGCCTGCTCAGTGCTGGTGGCACTGAGGTAGAAGCTGTGAGGCCTGTGACAGTGGTGGGAAGTCAAGTGGGGGAGGCAGGAACTGACACCGGTAACCTCGGCGTCCGTAGAAGTCACTACTATGTAGAGCCCTGTTTTTTGAAAAATAGCCACTTTCAATGGATGAGTTCTTGTGTAGTTATTATTTAGTTACATCCATCAAGAAATTTCTCCCTAAAATCACTATGCCAAGGGGAGAAATTGCATATTTTTTTGTTCAGCAAGAAATTGCAACCTGGAGGCTTAGCGTCCAAACAGAGTGCATGGAAATGTTTTCTTTAGCTTGCTCGCTGTTGCCAAATTTTTAAATCCAGAAGATTTTACATTAAAAAAAAATGTATTTCTTGCTTCTCTTGGAAAATCAGATTGGGCAACACAGCCCCCATTCCCACTTTGGGCCAGAACACAGTGGCTTCTATTCTGCCCCTATACAACTGCTTCTCTATACTCATTTAGGTTTGTGGGAGACGCTTGAGAAGACTGAAATATCATATACGTTTGGCCACAAACTTCATAAAAGAAGAGCATTTATACTGTACAGGAGGGATTGAAGCAAAGGGAATGCTGGAAAGAGCACTAGGTCATTAGAGATGTCGCCTTCCGGGGCTGGTCCTCTGACTTGAACACAGGACAGCTTCCCAGTCTCCCCTGAGGGGCTTGCCTATAGGGGGTCAAACCCAGCTGCTTTTGAAACAGGGAAGAAATGTGCCCTTGTTCTGTGGGCATCTGACCTTCCTCATTTATATCCAGGTTGGTATCTAGAACCATGTGGGAAATGATCCAGATTCTTTCCAATGTGACAACTGGCTTAAATTAGTCCTCTGGAAGATAAGAGGAAAATAAAACTTTGATGGAGGAAAGAATGGAGGCGATGGAAAGCCAGCTTCCATAAGGTAATCACATGGCTTCTTTTCGGCAACTAAAGTTAGTGTCTTGAGGGATTAGTTGCTGGAGGTGTGCAAAATGAATCCAGTCAGCTTTTTTTTGCCTTGTATTAGGCCTGCAGACATTCCATGTAGCTTGTATGCATTTGGGAAACCAAATTCCATCATCAACTTGAATCAAAATGAAGGAAAAATAAATCTCTACTTATCAAAAATATTTAAGACAGAGCCTCTACATGCCAGACACTGACATAATGTATAAATTCAAATATGTATCTATTTTTTAAATCAATAAATGTTGAGTAAACATACAAACACATTATAGTTAAAACTGAGGAAGAAGAGATCACCAAGGTCTGGTGCTGCATTTTTGAGGTAAGCTTTGAAGAAATGCTTAATCCAGGGGTCATATCTGAAGATACCCCCAGGGAGGGTGGGCTGCATCGCACAATCCAAGGGGACACCATTCAAACCATACATTAGTAGGCAGTTCACAAAGATGATAGAAATGATAAAAGGGGGCTAGATTTAATGCAAACATGAGGCTGTCCATGCCCAGAGCTAGTGGGGCAGCTCCTCTAAAGGGGGCAGTTGCCACTCTAAGTGTCTAGGATTAGAGGAAAATGGGAAAACGAGTTTTTATGAACATTCCCAATTTTTAATCACTGAGAGGCCAAACAAAGCACAGCTTCCATCCCTTTGGCGCAGAAGCTGCCCATCTGTACACTCTGTTCAGAGGAGCAGAATTTGCCTGGGATTCTGGGATTGTGCCAGGCGAGCAAAGCACCCACAGCACCGCCGAAGGGAAAGGGGTGTGCTGGAAACGCAGCTGGTCTGCAGCCCACCACTCCCACCTCCTCACCTCAGTGGCTGAACAAAGGTGGAGGGGTGGGGGTAAGGAGGACACTGAATGCTGGGACTGAGGAATCTGGGGTTCCTTTGTGTATAGTTTGACACTTGTCAGGGGCTTCTTATGATCTTGTGGAAACAAACTTTCTTTATTAGTTAAGCGAGAGTCTATAATGGCAAATATATTAGATTGATGGCTAAAATATTTTGCTAACTAAGGGCAGTATGTACAAATTTTAACTGACATGTCCCTAATGGAGATTGATAATCAAAGCAGCTGTAGATCACCGGTGTGCTTGACACTGTGACGTGCTCCGGCTTCATCACCACAGGTCAGGGTAGGCAGCACTCTTACCTCCATTATAAAGCAAATAACTTGGATGCATTGTTAAAGACTTTTTATTTAAAGCCGTGTCACTTGCTAGAGGTCACAGGAAGCAGGACCGGTGTTTAAAAATGTGGTATGACCTAAAGCCTGAATTTTTCTGCTGCACTATTTCATTCTGCTTTCTATAACAGCAGCTGAAGGAGCCACATAGCAACTTAATTTGTTGCTGAGATACAGAGATGTATAAACGTAAACATCATTCTCAAAGAGTTTACTCTGTTGCACTAAAAAGGTATTCACATATAAAAAGTTAACCCACTTAAATAAAACAGTTAAATATAAGAGCTGCAAAACAGAAAAAGCACCTATGGTAGTACAATACTATAATTAAAATTTTAATATCATCGATGAAAGATTGAATAAATCCTGCTCTATGAATATAAGAGCTGAAAAGCAAAAACAAAATTCCTTGTCCCACTCAAAAGAATCAGTGGAATTCAATACTTGTGACTTTATTCTAAATGCTCTTTTTTAAGAGTTTGAATAAAATAAGAATGAAATAGTTTCACATCAAACTAAAAATTATGATAGAAATCAAAGAACTAGAAATGTAAGTTTTGCAGTTTAGTGGAGAGGCTCTTAGAATCCAATTAAACAAATTTCAAGGAAAGAAATTTCAGAAGCTAGTATTTTAGTTGCAGTAGATTTTGCTTGGCTGATAGAGACAAATGTGCAGAATTAACTACAGCAGAAGTAGGTCCCTGCCCTCTTGTGGCTAAATGAAAGTATTACAACATTTTCCCTTAAAACACGGAATTGTGGACTTCTTAAAGCCAAAATTTTATTAATATTAATATCCTTCCTATTTCAAAA